ACAAAACATATGGGTGGTCTTCTAAAAAAGTTAAAGTACAAACAAAAGAGGAACAATAGGGGGTCCCCAGTTGCAGGCAAATACACACTTTCTTGTGTGTGTGTAGAAAACAAGTGACGGACTAGGGTGGTCAGATGTCAGCCATCGGTGAGTTGAGGCACTCTGAACATTGTAACCCATCAGCCAAGCTCGTATTAAATACAGATAGCCAGATGGCATTTGGACATCCTCCAATGCAAAGTGGTTAAGACTGAGTGACTTCTGATGGATGTGTGAAAATTTTTTAAAGATTTGGGAAGTTGGGATGGACTCGACTACATTTCGAAGACTGGGCCAGTGGATGTACATTTTTCAGATCAAAAAAGAAAAAAAAAACATGCAGGGTTTGGTTTTGGAAGTGAGATCTGAATGATCCAGCCTGCACACCTCAGTGACATTATCCAGGGCCATTCTTTTGCCGGCCTCCGACCAGCGGGACAGCCAAAAGTCGGTGGCCACCATCAGGCCGTGCTGGAGGAGGGTCAGCGCCATGACGGAGCAGGCCAGCGGGTACTTCATGGCCCGCAGATAGAAGACGATCACCGTCCAGGAGATGGTGCCTGTGTTGCGTTCCTCCTTCTCGATCAACCGGCCTTCCTCCTCTGACACATTGCCTGACGGGTTCAGAAAATAATGGACAAAATAAAACTATTCATTAATGAGACTGTGCATGCCCACAGAAAGATCGGTCTATCTTTACTTTTTCACATGATGTAACACGACAGACAAAGACATTTCAGGAAGCATACAATGTTCTTGGAGGTGCACGCATTTTCGACTCTGTGTATTTCTATTGGCAGTTTCATGTACCCCAGACTGTTGAGAGACTTTGAAGGTGTGTGCTACCGTGCACATCTGTGTAAATTGGTTGCTGACCGTCAAAAAATTATGTGACTGAAAATCCTATCAAGCAGATAAATGTAAGCAGATAAATGTATTTTCATAACAGGTTTTCATAATGGGTGTTTTATATATACATAGCACTGTATACTCAATGTTCCCTTGCCTGAGAGCTTGTGAAACTTCACAAGCTTACAGGGGTGGGACTCGAACCCATAACCTCCTGCTTACTAGTGCCCACTGTGCCTGGTGGAAAATCCAGCCCTGCGTTTGTGCACATTCAATTGAAAATTGACTCCATGCACTCCACTTGTTTCAATGTGCAGTAACTATACAACCTTCCAATTCCCTATAGTAATGGACACACAGCGGTATCTACAGTTCCTACAAGCGACCCACACTGTGTTGGACAGAAACCCCCCCCCAAGAAAGCAAGATCTACCTCTTTCTTCCTCTTTCTTTTTCTCCTCCACCAGCTTCAGCAGCATCTGCCGCTCCTTCTCTGCCTCCTCATCCCCTGTCTCTGCCTCCGACCTGCTGGCGGCCTCGGCCAGGTGCCTGGAGGTGATCTGGAGATCGGGGTCTGCCACCCAGACCTCGTTGGGCGTGCCCTGGAGGCTGACGCGCCCATCCTTCATTACCAAGACCTAGCAAAAGGTGACAAATTATGCATTCTTTTTTTAAGAAGTAAAAATGGGTACAACCAGCAAAAGCATGACCCTCAATACGGGCGATTTACGGGTGATTGCTGCAGATTGCTTTATTTTTGAGAGTTTCAAGCAATTCGTCTAGGGGGCTAGGATGAATATGGCTGTTTCACAATAGTGTGCAATCAAGAGTTTGCAACGCATTGGCCAATCACAACGCGCGAATTGTCGACCCTTTCCAAACGCACATTTGGTCAACAGATTTCGTGCGTTGTGATTGGCCAATGCACTGCAAACTCTTGATGGCGCACTATAGTGAAACGGCCATATTCATCCTAGCCCCCTAGACGACTTTGCTTGAAACCCTCAAAAATAAAGCAACGTGAAGCAATCCAGTGGCACATTCTCTTAAGGAAAAATGACATTCTCCGGCCGTTGGCCACAAGTGAAAAGACTCTGCTAAAAATTTTTCTACGCCATGTTAGGGACTGACCACACCCTTTTTATTACCTGACCAATAACTGTTGTGCTACCCGGTAAACAGCCGTATTGTTGACGGACGCTGATGAGCACTACTACTGGTGTGCAAACACTCACGAAGTGTCCCTCGCATGACAAGACTGTCTACTTGTTCGTGCGCAGTGAGTTGAAAGTAAATCAAGTACGCTCGGGGCCACAGCATCGGTGCACAGACAAATATTATGTGTTTGCGTGTTTTTCTTCCTTCACTCGCTGACAGGTTCCCATGCAGCGCTATCTGATATCTGCGTTTCCTGTATGGGGAGCGTTAATGCCTACCTTGTGGGCGTATTTCATGTACTGCAGCTGATGCGTGACGAGGACCACTGTGCGCTTGCCACCCAGCAGCAGGTCAACGATGCCGTCTTGGAAGAGCTGACTCCCAACGTGGACATCAAGAGCCGACAGGGGATCATCCTGGAAGGAAACAACGGCAAAAATCTTGAAGTCAGAAGATTATCTTTTCTTTTTGTTATAGGGTTTATTCTTACTACGTCACAATCCCATTTTAGCTTGCAAGTGGCTGGTAAAACTATAGCCAAACATCAGTACAAAAAAGTAAAGGAAAAAATACCACTAGTTAACATTCAATGAGAAAGTAACAACTCTTTTAAAGGGGTGGAGCAAATGTAAACTTTTAAGGGAAAATCTGGCACCAAGCAAGGGTAATACTTGTAACTTTTGGCCACCCATATAAATAGTAGGCAATGTGGGAGCGGTCTATTCGAAAGGGCTAATTTCATAAAGCTCGCAAGAACAATCACTCTCCTAGAACATGGGCTTAGCAACTTTTCTTGCATGCTTAGCTAACTTGTTTAGCAAAAGCAGGTTACCAGCCAAACGTCATGTGGTACCCAACTCTTGTATCCACAGTCACACCTCTTTTCCAGCATGGCAACCTGACTGTGGCTGTACATGGTCCTGGCTACGTGGACTTGCTGCTTACCACATCTGCTTCGTAAATCTATTCTTTACCCACATGACTCTTTACCAATATGACAAGGTCGTTGTGGCTGTACATGGCCCTGGCTACGCTGACTCGTTGCTTCTGCCCTCCACTCAGATTGATTCCCTTCTCTCCAATCTCCGTCTGATCCCTGGCAGGCAGGATGTCGATGTCTGGCTGCAGGGAGCAGGCCGACACTACCGCCTGGTATCTGAGAAACAAATCGCACAACACAATCCAATTGAATCCAGAGTTGCGGTCTCAGTTGGAGTTCGACCTTAGGACCTCTGAACTGATTGCAACTTGCTTGTCCCTCCAGCCAACCTTCCACTTAAGTTGAGAGATAAAAATGATGCTGCTAACCAAAGACACAAACCAGCATCTGGTTACAGCCTGTCCATGAATGCTGAAGCAGAATATAACAATTTCTCTTCAAGCAAACTTGAATTCTCAATTCTGATTGGTCGATCCATGGCAAACTACAATGTGATATATAACTGTACTGCACGGTTCATATCAAACTCCAAGTAATGCATTATTCCAACTCAACAGACTGCGCCAGTTTTGTGCTAAAAACAAAACGCATAACTGCAAAATTTACTTTAAATTCAAAGGTGGCATGTTTTCTAAAGACAGGCCCCTATAAGATCTCTTACTGCCCCTCAAGCTCTCTTGAAGATGAATTCCTCATAACGTTCAGGCTTGTGGAACACGAGATAATGTAGGGAATCTGCGTACCGTATATCACAAGGTCAGAGGTCGAGTGGTAAATAGGACATAGATGCACTACACTATTCTGTGTTCCATTTGCGCTCTTGTGGTAACTAATAATATTGTTAGTTGTGCATCAAAGTGCATATCGGACAATTTTAGAGCACCATGATGGGATATACCATCCATACACACCATCACGAGAGGCAGTTTTAATAAATAAACACAAACAAGTGGCACATATAAAAGATGTTGATGATTCTCACGGACTTTTCAACCCTTGCATCGAAAGCCAGAAAGATATACAAGCTTCGAAAGCTAACGGAAACCACTTCACTTAAAGTTGCCAACTGTTTGAGAAAGATGCAGGCCCCGTGACTCTGTGTGGTGTTCAACTGTTACAAATCAAATCCCGTAATTTCAGCCTATGCGGTTTTCTTTTTTGAGTACAAGGGGCAATCCAAAAAGGGAAGGGCTCCACTCATGCTCAGGTTACTTGTCTTCTTCAAACTCTTGGCCAAACAGAATGTTGTCCCTGAGTGACGCGTTCAGGAGCCACGCCCGTTGGGCGGAGTACGCGATCCCTCTCCGTTTCCTGTTCACAAAAACAAAACAGGGGAAGTCACGCTGTGTAGGATGCAGGAACGCTCCTGGCTGAAATCTTTTGGGAGTGAAAGTCAGTCATTCAATTCTCTCAGGGTCTACTGTAGGCTGCATCTGAATAACTTAGCTAGGTTGGAAATAACACGTGTGGCTATAAAAGCCACAAGTAGCCGCTACAGCCACTTTCCATAGACTGGAGTGTAACTGTTAGCCGTAGCCAAGAAATTCGGATCCCCACCTCAGTCTCATTTTTTGAGCAAACCCTTTCCGTATGGTTAAAGTTAATCAAATCTTTGATTCATTGTGCAAATGCTGGCTCATAGGACATGGCATTATGCTGTCCCTGCTTAAATCACAATAAGTGTTGGGCTTATTCAGTTCTAAAGCTGTAGCCACATCTACTGTCTAGAGCTAAGTCTTCACTCCAATGGAAATATGCAGAGATGCACTGACAACAGGCAAGCCGTAGCTCTAGATGCTCGTTTTGGACACAGCCTAAGACTGTGTTTGAAAGTTATGACTAGGGCTAGAAAAACACCCTGACCCTATGGAAGTAACTGGCTAAAAGCTGTAGCCACTTTATAGCCAGTAGATTTGGACATGGCTATGAGAAGTGAAGATTTGTGAGCTAAGCGTACCTGTTGAACTGGACATAGCCAGACGTGGTGTGCATCTCACCCAGTATGGCGGACAGCAAGGAAGACTTGCCCATGCCGACCTGGCCGACTATCATAGTCAAGGACCCTGTACCGTGAAGGGAGTAAGTATACACCAAATAACACCATAATTCGCACTGATGAGAATATCAGGGATTTGGGACACTACTACTACTAGTCGACTGCCGAGAATTCCGTCAAAACGTTCCATCAAGTAGCTCCATCTTGTGCGGCCTCCAAGATCTCATTAGATGTAAGAGTTATGACTTTGGAAACAGTCCAGCCTTGCGCTGTGGGTACATCAAAGTGGGTCTGCCTTTCCTACGATGAACATCGTTGATTGAGGGACTGCAGGTTGGCCAGGACATGTTTTGGTTTCCTCAACAAAGGACTCTGCCCCTTACGCTGCCGTTGGCAGATGGTGAAATAAAAGGCAGATGGTGAAATAAAAGGGCTACCGGTCCATTACATCACAGATAACTGGTCAACACTTGTATGACAGCTTGGACGACAACCCAAGAATTGTCTGACTTTGACCGCATGTGTTCATCTGATTAGTGAATTTACCTCTTTTGTCAACAGGCAACAACTTTGTACTTCCAAAGGGGTTTGAACAAACACTGAAGGTTGCCCTAGGCATTTTAAGTGTCTTCTCTTAGGTTTTTGTGTCATGCAATGAAGAACGTGGCGTGGTACGGGTCATGTGCATGCCAACAACTACAATATCTACGTAAGTGTACAGGAACTGTCTGTCTTGTCTATTTCTACCCTGGTCATACCCTAGTTGGTACATTCAATCCTACACCCTGTCGAGCATCAAGTGATCCTAACAATTCTCCAATTGACCCACACGGTGTACAAGAATACTGAGATCTGACGAAACATTTTCATTTCACCGTTATGTGAGCCATACCTGCGGGAAACTCGACGTCGATGTCGGATAACATGCTTGCCCTTGAGTCTGGATCCCAGGAAAAGCTGCCATTCTTAATCTGGAAAGTAGAAGAATATCAATTGTGTTAGCCGATAAATACTCAGCGTTCTTTCACCTTTCAGTTTGAGTTTTACTCTGACTGAAATAAAATTTCACATTACGGAGAGTCAACGAAACCTGTCAGTGTTGTAGACAAGACCAGCCGTAAGATCAGCAGGAGGTAACAAGGTGAATGACAAAAACCCCCTTTTTTGTTGAGGATCATTTGAATAGCTTTTGGCTTGAACTCATATTGGAGGTCTTGTGTTGGCCTCGTGTTGGTCTTGTAAATGGTCTTGTGGAGTCTTGCTAAAGTGCACCATGGGGTCCTCACTACAACACTTTGTATCCAGCAATGGATTGGTCACATTCTAGATATTAGATAAAAACTCCAAGAAATGGGCACAAAATATCAAACAGCGGGACTTGTAATAAAAACCCAATCTGACACTCTGCCCAACCTTGATGGCGACATCATCTGGCAGCGCTGGCCGGACGGCATCTGTAGTTTCCTCTGGTTCGGACGTCAGTGCCACATAATCTGTGCCGTCCCTCGGAATGACCCCTACGGGGTCTGTTCTGCTATTCGCTGCCTCCCCCTCCAGGCTGGGAATTCTGTGAAACTTGGCCTTGCCATGTGTCCCCACTTGTATTTCAACCTCAGGAAGCTGAAGGAAAGAAGTATTATCGAGTGAGTAACCATTTCGGCAAACACTAATCAAAATATCAAGAGAGAAAGAAGGAAAGGGGTTTGTTTACCAAAGTGTAGGAGAATATCCCTCAAGTGATACACAAGCATTTCCCAAAACCTCAGTTATGATCCATTAACAAGCACCACAAGACTCAAACATAACATCTCATCCATCGCAAGACTAGACACCAAAACAGTCGTAAGACTAGTCACATGACCAGTCACGCGAAACAGGGTGACACAGTGATGGGTCTTGAGAGATCTCGACCTCAACACTGCCGACCAGATGCTTAGAAGCTACCTAGAGCACACTACCAGTTACAGGCATTGATGGGGTTGAATTCTTCACAAGAGTTTGAAGACAGCTGAAGTAGAGATTGCTTCCGACTTAAAAACATACCTCCCTATATACTGCTCCACCGTGCAAAACCCCAAGTAACAATGCCGGGGAGCCTGTTTTCGGGTACCTTGGGTTTGTATGCATAGCCGGGGTGCCCGAAATCGGACAAAAGAGCTTGGGTTAGGGTTAGAACAAAAAGACGCAAAAAGCTTGGAACAAAAGACAGGGCTGCTGGGAATTGGCAACATTTCTTCAGTTGTCAAAAGTGGAGGAAATCTGTTATTGTTTTGAAAGATTATACCACTGTTTGTGGCATTTAGCACGAGCGGATTACCACCGGGGACAAAAGCGCTCCAGCAATCCAGAGATGAGCGATACAATACCACTGCACGCTAATCTGGCCCCTATTGAAAAGACTCAGCAGCACACTGTGCCAGTTTTGGGAACAAAAGAAAATTAGACCGTGCAATCTGGGCTCTTTTTACAAGGCGGCAGGCCTGGCTGAAATACTCTGGCATCAATAGATTTTGTCTGTACGATTAGAGTAGCCACCAGAGAAACACTCCCTGGGGTTTAGGGGTTCAGGAAAAAAGATAAGAATTTTTGAAGATTTTTGAAAATCAAAGATATTGAAAAATTGCCCTTATGTAGGGATTGCATTTTTAAAAACACCCGGCAGGAAATGGTTAACACTATTATCGCAAGCAGTTTACAACTACATTCACTACAAAAGTGGGCGACCAATAACAAAGGAACATTCCTGTCATGAGTGAATGGCATGTGGTTTACACAAAAACTAGAGTACCTGTAACATACTTGAGAAGACTTCGGAGTATATGTGAAGAAATTGTGACGTTATAAGTCCTCAGAACTCCAACACTGCATCCAACTTTCTATGATTCTATGATTCAAATATAATTTCCAGGGCCAGCCTGTAATAGCCATTGGACACTTGAGTACCTCTGAGACAAGTGTCATTGCTTATAAAACCCTCATGAAGTAATTGACTAAAACACCAGTGATGGTTTTTAAAAACACATTCCTCGATGTCTTCACTGACTGTCTTACGTCGTTGTGGTTTAGGATCTCTGTTTCTTTCTCTGGGTCGAAGGTGCTGTCTCCGTCCTCCTCCAAAAAGAAGTCTCCGCCCCCTTCCTCCCTCTCGATCTCCCTGGCAGTGAAGAACTTGTTGAGCCTCTGCACGCTGACATGATTGTTGATGATGTACCGGATCATCATGGCAAACACTGGTGAGAACAGGAAGATACAAAAATCAATCAAAGCACGTTTACCTCAAAAATAAAAAAGCATGACGAGTTAACTGAAAGTACCAGACTTGGACTGCAAGACGAAAGATCTGACAAAACCATCTCCTGAAAAAGTGGAATACCTCATTCAGCTGACATCTTCAGAAGTCTAAATGATGACGATAAAAATGATACTGTAAAATCAAATTTGGCCTTGATGTTGAGTTTCTTCCGAAAAAATCTTCCGAAAACCTCCCGATGGATTTTTGACGAACTTGGACAGGTGGGACTTACTCCTGACTGGGAACCTGAGCTGATTGACGATGGTGAGGGTTGTGAAGGCTATGGCTGGCGTCAGTGAGGATCCAGTGAAAGACATGAAGAGAAGAAAGCTCTGAAGAATTGAGAAGAAAAAGCTGAACACTTAACAACGCCAAACTAGCAACACTGTTTACAATTAGTACAATGTGCTTCTTGCCAATTCTTTAGCCAGGTTGACTAGACGCAGTCAAATGTGATTCAATCATATTAGAGGCAATTGGACAACATTTACACTGAGAATGAACTTTGCGTGTCAACTACACGCTGTATTACTCGTTCAGTTTTTGAAGTACAGTGCTCAGTCCGACAATATACTCAACAATCCCTCATCAGGCTACAAAACTGGAAGTTGCAAACCTTGGGAAATGCAACCCATCTCATAATCACAGTTGACACCGATTTACGTTTAGTAGAGACCTCACTGTCAGTTAACGTGTGTGTTTCTGGTTTAGAAACCCCAGCATGTTTCAAGCTGGAGGCTTTTTTTCCATTCCAAAAAACTGCAGGATGGGAGAAACCTTGACTGAAATGACGGCAAAAACTCACGGGATTGGAAAACTCGGCCACTGTTTCCAACAGTGTACGCTGGACCACAAAGGTGATCTAGTTTTACTAACTTTGGTTTACAGCCTAAAAACGTCCTCCTGTGTTCAAAAATACTGCAGAAATTTGTGGTCTTGAGTGACTCTTGACTCTGTGAAAGAATTGCCTCCAAGAGGCTGCCTGATGTACGTCTAATAGCATAAAAGTCAATTCATATCTCCAAAAGCTCGCAGTTTATTCACAAATGGAATCCCTGCACAAGTCACTTAAACCTGACAACGGTAAGAAATGTGCTGATTTATAATGATTAATATTTGTTTTTAAACCATATAATTTATTATGATTTATAATCTCAATAACAATGCAAGGACCAGCCCCAACTTGCCAAACTTACCAAGAGGGTGACAAATGCAGGAACAAAGTAGCTCGTCAGAACTGTTGGTAGCCAAAAGAGGAACATTTATTCACTTCTCCAAAGATTCAAGGCGGCCATGATTGGAAATTGAGTGTTTTAGGTGACGCTACTTATTTAACCTATTCAGTCCACAGTACCTTGGTGCTAAGGCTTAAGCCTTACACAGCTACCTTGAATGCCAGTAAACTTGGATGTTGGGAAAGGACTTGACATGAGCAGGCAGTCGGAAGAATTACTTCTTTGGTGTAGTGTGGCGGAGGCCCAACCATAATTGAAATGTTTACGGCCCACAGAAAGCAACTCCAACCTCCAGCACAAGCAAACTCAAGAACGAGACCAAACGGGCCCCTTTTACGGCAAATGCCGTCACAACTACTGACATCTCAGATGCTGGGGGGGGGAGCACTATCGCTAAGACATTCAAAGGTGGCCTCTAGGTTTGGACCGCATGTTCGACTCACTCGCGATGCAGTAGAAGATGACGGCTTTCATCAGCTTCCTAATCTCCCTGCGCCGCACGCTGGCGATGGCGCTGCAAAAGATGTTCTCCCAACCATACAGCTTAATGAGCTTCATCCCCTGCAGCATCTCGTGGGTCTGCTTCAGCCGCTCGTCTGAAATTTTCTAACCCCCCCCCAAAAAAAGAACAGAATCAGGTTTTATGATTTCATGAAAGGCAAGTCAAGTAGAACTGTTACATTTCCTCAACTTCAACTCCTGAGGCCGGGTTCGAATCCTGCCTAGAGCAACACGTGGATTGGAATTTAAGTCTCTGGATGATTTGGCGAGGTCTCTCCTGAAAAATAAATCTGGGTTTTTCCTACCACCTCTAACATTGAACATCTCTTCATGATCTTCTTCCAAGGGCCGCTAGAAAGAACAGCTCATGAGCATTCCGATAAAGCCACCCTCGTTAAATGAATCAATAATAAGAAAAGAAGAAGACTATCATTTGCTCGGTTCCCCTGTGACGGGTTCGGGAAAATTGTACTAAATTAGTACCAGCACTGCCTTCATCCACAGTCCTTGAGCAAACCTGCTCTTATCCATGTGACTCTGAGGTTTCTGAACGCCTGTGAAAAACAGACATTTGAATCTGTGATTGGTTTCCAAAAGTCTCCACAGATGTTGTCGCTAGGCAACATTGCCATGGAGTCTATGTGTCAATGGCCCTTTATGATTCAGGGTTCTTACCAGCGCATGTTTTTGGACTCTGGCCTGGATCTGGGCCAGCTTGTACTGGATTGGGATAGCAACGATGAAGCACAGCGACGCTATGAGGGCGGCCACGCCCAGAAGGTGGACCATCATGGCCATCAACACGGTGATCTGTCGGGAGTAACACCACAGATTGCAAAAAGACAAAAGTTCAAGAACTATATGACAGACTCTTCGCACGATATCATAATCAGTGAGATATTAATGCAAATGGATGACGGCACTTTGAAGGATTTTACATGAAAACACCATGTGGACGTGTGAAAAGTCACACAGCAATTAATTATGCCTTCTCTACGCCATGTACACTCATAATCAGTTGCACATGAAATGCCAGCATAACAAAATCCAGAGCTGTAAGATTTTAGGGCAATGACTTGACTTGAGTCTTAAACTCAAGTGGCAGTTTTTGGAAGCTCACCTTGACTCAGAGCCATAAACGGGGGACCGAATTGACGAAAGGCACTGCAAGACTTGACTCGCCTTGCGACAAAAAATTCAGCCATATGGCGCAACACTGCTCAACCTTTATAACAAGGTTTGTAAGTACAGTTTGACAAAGTTTAACGTATACGCCAGGATGGAGAGGAAACAGTAAACCCAATAAATGACTCTCTCGTCTCTGGTGTTGATTGGTTCAATAGCATTCAAACAGCTGTGACTCAAAATAACTCAAGCATACATTTGAATTGATCCGATCCACACCATGACTCTCTTTGGAATATGACTCCACTTGAGTCACTTCCTTGACTGGATGACGAGTAAAATCCAATGACTCATTACAACTCAAACACGAGCTAAGGAATATGAGCGCTAAGAAGCCCACTCACCATGATGGGCAAGGAGTAGGCGTATTGTCCATACTGGTAGAACATCATGAGGTTCAAGGAGTCGACGGACATCAAGTTGGTGATCTGCCCGGTAGTCATGGCTCCGCTGGTGACCGTCCAGCTAGACAGACGCAGGGACTTGTTGTACACAGCAGCCTAGAGAGAAAGGACAAAGCCAATTCTTCAATCCCTCCCATGGAATCATGGGTACCTGACAAATTTGTCCAATTTTTTTGGAGCATTCTATGGCTATTGGAGTAAGATTTGGCTGCGACCTTTGTTTGATAGAGCCCTTAACATTAAGCAGAAACTGATTTCGACTTTGTGACCGTTCAAACAATAGGAGGGTTAAATGCTCTCTTTCAAGGCATGCAAGGAAAATGTCATACATTTGTGCCCATTCTGTTGAAAACTGGTTCCGTGCATTCTGCCCCACTCATCGGCACAAAACCAGAACACGGATGAACACAGCAGAGTACCATGCGCAATTTCCACAGTACCTGGACAACACCATAATGCAAGTAATAAATGTGACCCAATCTAACAAAATGAGTCAGAAGTCACTGAGCACACCGAGTTGCAGACCTTTCAAACGATCTTATACGAGGGACGTCAGTTTGGTGTAGTGGCTCTTTGCTCACCTTCCACCCTTACGACCCGCGGTTCGAATCCCACCTAGGTCAGCATGTGGATTGGGTTTTCAGTCCATGCCTGATTCTGTGGGTATTCCCTGAAATATTTATCTAGGATTTTCCTCCCAGTTCTAATATGTCTAAAACTGAACATTGCTTTATTGTCTTCTTAACTGACCCTTCATCCTGTAATTGGCACTAAATGCGCTGTTAGACGAACACGTATAAATAAACAATGCAAATCAACAGGAACTGTTACCAATATTCACCCAAGTAATGTCCATTTTGGTCAGGAAACCAAACTGAATGACACATCAGAAATAACAGAACTCGGTGTGCTCTGTCTTCTTTGAACTGAAACAAAACTACTTGACAAGTAAGATTCGTTTTGTGGGATTCAGTCACAAACGATCAGCCTCAAAGAGTGCATTCCTACATTACCTGCACACCGACTCTGAGATGGACACTGGAGACGATCAAGGCGTGGTAGTTGGAATGCAGCAGCAAGAGCCGCAGCAGCCCCACGACGCCCATGAGAAAGAGCAGCACAAAGCCATTCTGGAAAAACTCACTGACGGTGACAAACTCTGACAGCTGTAGGCAAAGGAAAGATCAACCGTCGTCTTCAGGTGAGACTTATTCCAAAAAACTGACAGTGTGCTGAGAAGTTTGCAACTCAGAAGACGTTAAGCTTCTATGAGCACAAAGACTCAGGCATACAGATTGTCTGGCGCAATTAAGGGCAATAGGAAAACAACGTGCACAAAATTCCTATCCATAGTATGGGATACCATATATCAAGTTGAGGGCACTGGACTCGTTATCGGAACCACTTTGGCTTTGGAGCTATTCGTGAACTATGTACACACGGTCATTTTGCTAACAAACTTTTTAAGCATAACCTTCAATTTTCCAATATGAGTATCACCACTGATACCTTCAACGATTCAACACGCATTCTGGTTGACTACACTGTGGTACATGTGAATAAACAAGATATATAATTCCTTGGGGACAGTGCGCTGAGTACAGATTTAAGATTAAACTCCTGATCGAAGGACTGTAATGTTCCGACACATTCACGATGGCCAACCAAAAACATTTCATGCAACTCTAGCCACAAATATGTGACTTTAAACTTCATCATGAAATATTTTACTGACGCCATCTGATGCTTCTCCCTCGTCGTAGAACAGCACTGTCGCGTAGGAGACGATGCCCCCGACCGTCAGCGGGACGACGAAGTGGAGGGAGTCGGCTGTGAACTTCAGGAGGAACGCTGCAACGTGCCAGCCAAGATAGGCCCTGAAGAGGACTCGGTAGAGGGAGAAGTGCTCGGGACCCCCCAGCTTTGCAGCTCTTTCCTGCAAGATTGGGGATGACAAGATTTTAGTAGCTGGAAGCTTCGGTGACCAACTGACCACTGCCAAACACGGTTCATTATTCAGCCACAACTGTGACCCTCGACTCGACCGGACAAAATGTGTCACAAGCTGCCCGAGCCACTTTTGAGTTGAAAGCCTTTGAGTGAATCCTGTACAGACAGGAACCCTCAACATCTTTGACCCACGTAATGTCCATTTTCGTCAGGCTTCAAAACGATGTGACACCTCAGAACAGAGAACTCAATTTTCTCTTCCTTATTCAAACTAAAGCAAACTTATTCACAAAATGGCCTTAGAACTCATTTTGTGGGGTTCTGTAACACAAAACTCCATTACAAAATCATCCAAAGAATTAAAAATGCAGATGCCTGACATAACATTTTGAATTTGAGCAAAATCGCACGGCATGAAATTGCCCACCTTTTCTTTCTGCAGATACCACTCAAAGTTCCTCTCATTGGAGCGGGACGTACTCATTTCTGGCAAGCTGCCCAAGTCACTGTTCTCCAGAGGGTGCTGGTAACCCACGCGTAACAGCCAACCTTGCCAAGTGAACAACATCCGTGAGGGGAAACTCACGTACCTGTGGGATATCACAGGCAGAAGGTGAAAATTGCATGGAATGTTTGAAATATTTTTAAACAACAGCATCTAAGGATCCTTAGTGCCTAACTTTATTTCCCTTGATGAAAAGTATCATTTTGGCTTACACAGTTCCACAAATGTTAATTGATTCAGCAATATCTTCGATTCTGCAACAGATCACGTTTTGCCACTGAATAATGATTCTTTCAGCCCTCGGATTTGAATTCAATTCTTGCCTTGCATGACTGCACAGGGCTCGACTCACAGGTCCAATGAATGCCCAATAAATTGCACCCAATGCTGCTGAATATACATGTCGTTTGAAGTGGATGTGTACATGTGTACATGTACACGCACGTGCAACAAATATCAGGTGGTAATGTCTTGGAACCAAGACTGCGCCGCCTCTTTTAGGCAGAAAATATCCCAGGGCAAATTTCTCTGCCAAGCAAAAATCAGCTGAGAGTGAGAGCCAGTTATGAGGCACTTGACATCTTAGCCAGTAACTTGATTTACCTGATTGAATTTTTTCCTCCCTTAGCGACATTCCGGGCTTAGCGGTTCTGTGAAGCCTATCACAATGCTTTCAACAAACGCTAACTTTTCTTTAACCTAGCTTCCTAGGAATTTCTGTCTGGAACCCCACTGAATCTTCCCAATCCTCATCAAGCCAAGTAATACAGTAGACCTTCCCAAACCCTTCAAAATCTTGAAGTGGATTTAAAGGATCTTGGCGAGTTTTCTGCTGTTACCCTGTAATTTAAAAGGGCACTTTTGAAGCAAACCTTCCTGTGATAGCAACACTACACATGTTCTCAAACAATCAAAAACTTTTTGTACATGTAATGTAAAGTGAAAGGGGCAAGGTGAACATCTGAATTTCAGAAAGGATGAATTTATAATGGTCCCTGCATCCTATTTCCACATGTGACAGCTACATACAGGTGTATTCCCAGCAAACTGTCCCGATTTCAGGTAACTGGGATAGGGGTCGATGTAGGTGGGACCATGGGGGGTGGAAGGGGTCAAGTACTATTTGCTCCCAAATTGTTACCTCATATAATACTTCATGTCTGGCTTCAGCAGATCGGCTGGTAGGCTCTTGTGTTTGGAAGGTCTCAGACACTAAAACCGTAGGGGGGAAAGGTTCAAATTAAAAGCCAGGCTGAGGGGCAGAAGGAAAGCTGGGTAGGTCCAATGATGTAGTCGAGTACTTGTGGAGTACAGACTTCTCTGCCAAATATTCAACTAGTTAGGGGGAATAAAGCTGAGGTACATCAGCGTTTGATGGTAGACGCACAAAGGTTACACAGTAAAATGATGACTTCAAACTATCACTGCTTCATAAAAATTATGTTTTCAGGACAAAAGTACTCAAAAAGTACTTGGCCGAGTCATATCCCAGTACTTTTCTCCTTAAAACTGAAATTTACTAAACTGGGAGTGTCTGAAGTGTTATATTTAGTTTGCAATCTTACCTTTATGCATTTCCCATCAAAGGCCAGCGTACTCCAGCTTTATTCCCTCTTACCCAGTTCATTATTTTGCAGAGAACCTTGGTACCATGGTACTCGAAAAGAATTTAACTACAAGACTGGGTAGGTCAAGATGAAAATATTACAAATAAACAGCAAGGTGTAGTTTTGTTACAATAAGTGCACAAAGAATGGAAAGATCTCTCCTAAATCTTTGCTCAAAGTGATTGGTCCAACTAAAAATTAAAGGGCCCACAGTGATAACGCTGACCACCTGATATTTTCCCTATGAAAAAAAGCACATGTTTTAGAAACAGGAACAAGCATGAATAAGGTAAGAATTGGTCAGTGAAAAAAAAAATGGCACTTACTGTCACTACGATTGCACATAACTCAACCAGAAATAATACTGCAGACGAAGAAACCATAAATACTATTGCATCAAAGCGGACGATTCTGATGTCGATGTTGTCTGGGTCTTCCATCCAGCTGGCTAAGCGGATACTCTCACCAGCCAGGGCAGACCCCCAGTATGCCAGCAGCAACCAGGCAAACCCGGGCTGGAGCCAAGCTTCCGAGTGATGGTACAACACGCAGGCCAGAGCAGCAGCGAGCCAGGCACAGCCAGCCGGCAGGTAGAGGTGGGGATGCGTCCCAGTGCCGGGCTGGGACTTCAGGTGCGACAGCACACCCTCCTGGACGAAAAATGTCAGCGCCACAAGGACGGCAAAGAGCAGGAGCCAGCGGAGGTGGTGGAAGGGGTAGTGGAGGGTGTAAGGAGTCTTGGCCCGTCTCAGTCCCGGGCAGCATCCGTAAAGGAGGAGGAGGAGGGAGGAGAGGATGGCAAAGGCGAGATGGGGGATGCAGCTCAGATAGTCAGCCCAGCACACAGAGACGCTTATCCATGAGGCATTCTCATCTTGGCCTGGGCACAGGGAAGATGTCGCGTTGACTGAAGCTGCTGCATTCATCTTTGAGCGCTGTTTAACAGATAAATGTACGTAACACACACACGCACAAACTTGAGTTCAACACTGGTCATACAGAATTCTTTCTTTTTTAGAAAAAAAAATGCCTTTCTTTCTAAAAGCATAACGCCTTCACTTAAACCCCTTTCTGAAAATGTCACATACAAATATACTGGTACAAAGCCTTTGAGTATAAATTTAGCCATTAAAATACTTCACCTTGCTAGGAGAATTCTAAATATTAAGTACATGGATGGCTGTTTCTAAAATTCCGTTAGTACGAGTAATGGCCTGATGACAGAGCAGAAATCTGTTGAATGTCGTGGACCTAGGCCTCCTTCCAGAACTGTAAGGTTTATAGGGGTTCATTACCCTTAGCACCCTGTTTCCATTATAAGGGAACAAATTCTTTTCTCTTTCGAAATAACTTATTTAAACAACTTCTTGGTGATGTCCTCTTTCAAGTCAGAAAGAAAAGAGAACAGGGATTTTGGTTTTTGAGGGAAATTTTTTTGGGTATAACGGCAGCGTACATGATAGCCCTGAAGAGCTGTGAATGACAAATAAGCGAACATAGTTTGGTTCCTCGACCTGGATGGAGATTTGTTTTGATGAATCCAAAATGCCTGAGTCGGGTAACCAGACATAACACAAAGCAGCTTGATTCAACTGAGTGGTTGTCCTTTACCAAACTCGAGTAAGAAATTTGAAGTTTTTGCTTAAATATTGTCGAAATTTGCCTAAACTAGGCCTGTCAGGAGTTAGTAATAGTTCTTTAAGGTCAAAATGTTAGTTAGTTTGAGAAAGTGGACTTTGTTTCCTTATTATAGCCTAGGAACAGGGTGCTCATGGTAATGAACCCGGTTTATACAAATGTCACACTTAAAGTTATGGAAGTGGCCTAGGCCTGTCACAGTATGTGTAATATCTTATGATCACATGGGTCCTAGCTGCCTGCTTTTCCCTACTTCCAGAAGTTCTGAATAATTTTGAAAAAATTCCAATGTATTTTGACTTACTTTTTCTGAGAAAAAATATACAAGCTTACAATATTAATCAGCTGAAAGAAGTTTAAAATCTGATGCGGGTGATTGCTTTGGCTCCATACCATAGTAATCTAATTGTTCGCACCAGACATCCAGTATTCTGCATAGCACGAAGGGTAATTGTGGCCCTTTGCTGAGTGTTTAAATGTCCGCAGTGACGTCATGTCGACTGCAAGAACCAACAAAACTGTTGCAAAAATCTGTCTGCCAGCTTTGAAGAAACTTGACTTGGATCAAATAACCGGACTTAACTTACGTTGCTCTTCCCTTGTCAATCAGATGACTCCCATGACCGGTCGCGATCGGCCGGCCGCTCATATATGGCGCCCTCATTTGATAGCTATAGACAACGTGTGTTAGCCATACAGTTACATTATAATGTAACTCGGTAGTGTTCGCTCTTTGCCCCAGCGCCCGAACGATTTCCTCAGGTTGCATTCCTCTAGTTCAGCGATGTTTGATTGGCTGGGATACAAAGACGTTTCTTACATTACCAAATGAAAATGAAACTGCTTTTCATTCTTCAAAATGAGCGTCAATACTCAATCCGCCCTGAGGTGACATGAAGTGCACCCCTAATCGCCGAAAGAAAAACAGGTGGTTACAGATAGGCTCTTGTACACACGTTCTTCGTGTACGCAAAGACCATACATGTCGGAATAAATTAGTTATGTGTACTCAGCGTGCTCCGCGTCAAACGCGCATATACTGATTCCAATGTTGTTTATTTTTTACATTGAAAATAAAAAAGAAAGTGATTGTCATTTTTCACTTTTAAATGAAGGTCCAGAAACGACTAATTGTTTCTTTGTTTTCCCACTTTATGTTGTCAAATCGAAAAACAACTTGTTTTGAAATTCACGTTTTCAAATCGAAAACCGAAAACGATTTGCTTTTTGTTTGTTTAAACATGTACGTTTCGTTAATTCGTTTTTCAATTTGAAAAAAAAATCGTTTTCCGTTTTTGGAGTTGAAAACGAAAAACGAAAAATAAAAAGATACTTGTTCGTTTCTCAATGAGAAATGAAGTCATTTCTTTTTTTAATGTTGAGAATGAAAACAAAACAACGAATTTTGAATTTTTGAATTTCAATTTAATCCCGTTTGTCTACACACACTGTAATTTCGAGGAGGCGTCGTGGACGTCTCTAGGCACTTCTCAGGATGAAAGTTCAGCTCGAATGCAAAAAACTACTGGTCCTTTTTTACTTTAGAAGCAACGAATTCCTTGTATTCCTCTAGTTCAGCCATGTTTGATTTGGTATGTTACAAAGACGTTTCTACCATTGCAAAATGAATCTTGGAATCTTTTTCATTCTTCAAGCAGTGAATCAACAGTTCACGATTTTATTCATTTTCATGATGAAAAACGACGAAAAAAGGTGACTAATATTTTTATCTATCAAAGACGCGACTTGTTTTTAAATCTAAAACGATAAACGTCTCATTTTTCGATTTTCATTGTTTGTTTTCAAATCGAAAAACGGATGAACGTCTATGGACCACCTGTGTAGTCAGTAATTCAGACATGACGGATAAAGGCACCTTACCATATGCGCGTCGACACTTTCGGCGGCCAAGCTTTACGTGTCGGTTAAAATCGCTCTGACGGAGGGCGATTTTGATGGCGGAAGGCAACGCATCATTTATTTGTGTTATGTTAATTTAGTCGGTTTTTGTGTCGGTGAAAGTGAAGTGCATGAACGCATCGTATATGCAACGCACTCAAAACACGTATAATACGGAAACGCGCTTTTTGTCAACCAGACAACCCGTAGATGAATATGTAGTTATTCATATACATGCAGGCATGCATTGCATATGAACGGCAAGTTCTTGCATAAAGTATGTGGGTGTTTCACCAGAGTGGCCAGACCTGGAATCTTCACCAATCAAAGTAATCGGACTTATAGTTCATTCATTAGGCTATAATGGAGTTACATCTTTCAAGAGATGCGCCAACGTAATATATTTAATATATTTTGCAGTTTTAGAGGTGGGAGGAAAACCCCAGAGGAATATTCTGGGTAAAACCCACGGAATCAGGTAGAGACTGAAAACTCAATCCTCGGGTGGACCAAGTTGGGAATCAAACCCGGACCGCAGAGTTGGGTGGCGAGGAAAGAACCACTACAACCTGATACCCTGGTATGAACGATGTAAGTAAAAACCCAAACAAAACATAACAAACCAAAAACTAACCCGCCAATTCGATTTGCTGCCACCTTTTAGGGAGATCAGCTACGCGTCAACTCGGGATTATTGAACTCATAGTAATAAGACACAAGAGAGAGCAAAGCATTTTGTGACTTTTCGACTTTAGCAAGTTTAGTCGAAATGTGGGGTTCGTCGTACGCGTGGGATCGAGGAGCTCAAAAGAAGACGAACCGTACCCTACAGTTATGAGGGTAGGCCCTTTTCAACCTTTATTAAGGCGCGTTTGACTGCCTGGACACTCGACGCACACGCGCGCACGACGAAGCCATTCGCTCTGTATAGTCGTCACGTATGCGTCGTGTGTTCAGTTAGCCACACGCGCCTTGAGTAAAGGCTAGGCCTTCTTGGCCATCGGATCCTCCTCCCTAGGCTTAAAAGCTCAGACATGCCAGACAAGACAGTACAAGACAATTTTCTTTCTTTTCTAATTCAAAGCTGTGACATATCGTTTGAAAAAAGGAATTTAGTTGTATATATGCAGGAGCTTGGAGCAAATCGGGCAGAGCGATCGGGCGACCATGTCAATGTCGCTGGTTGTGTCGGCAGATCGGCTGATTGCGAACCAAAGCACAGGTCCAAGAAGTCTGATTAAAAACGGACTGCGGGGCATAATGAAATAACAATAATAATTACCGGTACATTGATATCGGTAAAATTGGTCAGTGGGTCCAAGAGTTCTCAAAATAACATATGTACATGTATACAGCTTCTACACGTAGTTCGGAATCCGGAAGGCCGACGGATCTATGTGCAGTGGGCGTGGTTTAAACTCCAATGACGTCACACTTACGAACCGGATACTTTTTAGGGTGCACTGCCCAATTCAAGGGAAATTCTTCGGCAGGCCGAGGCACTGAAAAAGTACCTCTACAGTTTATTTGGAAAAGAGGAGATTGTGTGGCCCAAGAATTTGTGGGATTGTAAAAGAAAGGCCTAGAATGAACTCCCTAGATTCAAGGGCTCCCATCCCAGGGC